ATTTATCGGCACTCTTTTTTTTACCTTGTCTTAACTAGTTATATGTTATTTAAATTGATTATTTACATACAGCACTCGTTTATCATCCGATTCTTAATAACTATTATTTTAATGCGTTCATTTTTTTGAAGTTCTAACTTATTTGCTACGTCAACATGTATGCTCATGTCATTTATTATTCTTATACACACTAGTATATACCTGTCACCTTAGAATCACAATCCGTACGAGTAATATCTGTTAAGATTTCTTAGGTATAATTGTTATATCCGGATAAAGAATAGGTGAAAGTAACAGCTAGGATCTATTTTTGGATTATCATTATATATATTCTTATTGTAAAACTTAAGTAACTATATTATATGTATATTCATTTTCCTTTTATTACAAGCTTTAATTTCATCTATTGACTGCTATTATACGAGTTACTATTCTTAAGATATTTCCAATTTATTAATAAGAGTCTCTCACAATTACAGCTACTTTTTGGCTTGATCTTGTATAAATGTTATTTTCTATTTTATGATACGATGCGATTCGAAATATATGATTCGTATAACGGAGACTGATATTGGTGTTTTGTACTAAATTAACTGGGTTACGAGAAGAGCTACTATCTTGGTGGATCAATAGGAACTCAGAATTCACGCTGGACTTCTCGTACTGGTTTATGCGTTATTGGTCTGGTCAGTAAGTCGGTGTTCTAATTGGCGATCGTATCACCTGATAAATTAACTTCTGTATAAGGACATAACAATAATCATATTGCCTTAATATTAAGGACACATAAATTGTCTTGATTAGTGTAGTATTATATATATGAGTGCAAAAAAGCCTGAAAATGTAAACTAGAAACAAAACTGTTCACTTCCACATGTACTATAATTTAATTTATAAGACATAAACTGATAAGGTATTAATGTTAAAGCTATTTAAAAGGAGGTAACAGGATGAAAAAAGATCGTCAATATGTATGCTAATAACATACTTTTGAATCGACACTAAGCATTCGATTTGGTCGATTCGGCCAAGTAGTTAATTCCATTATAGAATGATATTTATATTGAGTTTAACACATAATCAAATATAGTTGAAGGTATTCATCATGATTAATGTTACTATAGTTTCCTATAATGATTACTCTATAGATGAAATAAAATCAATAAAATCTGAAT